TTAATCAGTATTTTTGTTTGAATATGTTTTTTTTCTTCTGTAAAAACACCTCTGCATTCGTTAGTTGTTAAAATTGTGTACAATTATTTTTCTTACCCTTTCCTTTCACTTTTCTGTCAAATTGCTTTTACTCGCTTTAAGCATAAACCTAATGATTGGTTAGATTTATGCATAATAATGAACACTAAAATATATTAAATAAAAAAAATATATATTCTTTTAAAAAAGTCTAAACCTACAATTTTTTTTACAGAAAATGAAGACAAAAAAAGACAAACATGAAGACCAAATTTCACAAACAAAGAAACAGCAAGTAACACAATGAATTCAACATGAATTTTTGAAGTAGAAAATATTGAAATAGCATTTTTGTGTAAAACATACTCCAGTAATCTTGTTGTATTTACAACTCAGAATCTCAAAAATCTTTTTTGACAGAGCAGTCTTTGTAAAGAGCTGCTTTTAATTTTGAATTTAATTTGAGTTATTTCAGTACTTCAACATACAAAATGGAAATGAAATAATATATATATATTTAATGTATTTATATATATGTACATGTATATGTATGCGTGTGTGGCTGTACATACACATATGTAGTTTTTTTGGTGTTTGGCTTAGTGTTATGTTAGAATAATTATTATACTCATACCTTTTGTTCTTTTCATATTTTGAATTGTTTTTAGCTTTTTTGTTTGTTTGTTTTCATTTAAATGTTTAGTTTTGAAATGTTGTTGTATGCATTTATCATTTTTATTAAATTTATTTTATTTTCTTAAATGTGTATATATATATAGTATTTATAGAGTTTTAGCTTTTAGTTTTAATTACTTTTTCTTATTTGTAAGTCGCTTTGGATAAAAGCGTCTGCTAAATGACTAAAAGTAAAAGTAAATAGTGATGTAATAAAGTCACTGTATGTTTGAATGCATGTTAACATTGTAATGCATTTTTAATAAACTAAATGTAAAAAGAAAAAAAAAAGAGAGAAAAAAGCGTCATTGACCATTTAAGCATATTTGTAAACGGTAAAATACCTTGGCTTGGTCATCTTTACTGCTGAGTGCTGCATCCTTTTCCCTGATCAACTCTTTTAAATGGGCCACAAGTTCCTCCATCTGCGTTAGCTGCTAAGAGACCAGGCGAAACATTATTGTTGCTCCCACC